GCCCCACCCTCCCCTCTTAGGGTATACCAGGCCTATCTCTGCGAAGAAATGGGAACCCCCACCCCCACATGGCTTTTCTTGCAGTGTTTTCTCCCCAGACAGCAAAGTGGCAAGGAGGCTTGCCAGGCTCAGGGTGTACTTCCCTGACCTCACTGAGGTTCCTTCACTGGCCCCATAGATCCTGGGGTGAGCTATAGAGCCACTTAAGAACAGCCACTGGGACTCCCCCACACCCCCACGCTCGGGTCCCCCACCACGAGCCCGCCGGTGTTTCACCCAGGCCTCCTCATGTGACCCCTGTATTGGACTACAGAACGGACATGTATCATCACCGATGGGGAAACAGTCCCAGGAAGGCATGTCACGGGTCCAAGGTCACCCAGCTAGTCCAGGGGAGAGCCTGTAAAGCTATCGCCCTTTCCCCAACGCCTGCCTTCAGCCTCCTGCGAAACCAGTTTCCGTCAACATGTAAGCAGCGCTGCAACTGACCTGTTTTCAGAAGGGTTGAGAGAGGAGGTCTGCCTCATAGTGGAGGTGGAGACAGAGCACTGGAAGAGCCAAACTTAAGCCTCAGTCACCAAGGAGCAGAAGCCAGCGTTTCTCCTTGAGCCCCACACACTCCAGGGCAGACATCCAGTGCGAGGAAGCTCGTTTCATGAGAATAAACCACAAAATCCCCAAAGACGGATCCAAATTTCCCAGCTGCACATCTCAGTTTTGCTCCCAACCCTCCCAGGGTCCCAGGCCCGTGCCCTCCTCTGCACCTCCGGGCAGGCTGCCTCTGGGCTCCAGACCTTAGGATGTTTCGACTACAAGGGGTATGCGCTGTATTCGGTGCAGACCCCACTTGACAGAGAAAGGGGATCTCAGGCCCAGAGTGGCAGACCTGAGATTAAAATCAGCCAATGGTTCTTTCCACACAGCACCTCCTTCCCCAGTCCTCCTGGGCAGCCAACACAAGGGGTCTGGCTCCAGGGCAATTTCAAAATTCCCTAGAGCCTGCCAGAGGGGAGGAGGGAGAGGGGAGGGAGCGCTCAGTGGGTAAGAAGTCACCTGCCCCGTGTCCCCGCAAACCCTGCCCACTGCCCTGGGCTGGAGGGATTAGGGTCTACCTCAACCACCAGTTTGAAATGCAGAATAAAAACACCACTAAGTCATAAAAAGGGCTTTTTCTGGTGGCTCAGCGGTAAAGAATCTGCCTGCCAATGCAAGAGTAGGTTTGATCCCTGAGTGGGGAAGATCCCCTGGGGAAGGAAATGGCAACCCACCCCAGTACTCTTGTGTTTGGGAAATCCCATGGACAGAGGAGCCTGGCGGGCTACAGTCGGTGGGGTCACAAAGCAACTAAAACAAGAAGGAAATAAAAAAGCATAAGGAAGTCCAAGGAAATCCTAATTTTTTAACTTCCCATGCTTCTCTGCAGCACTTTTTGGAATATCAAAGTATTTCCTTCCCCTCCCCCAGCCCCTCGATTCTGCACCCCGTTCGACTGGTCCCACTAGAGTGTATCTGGCTGGCCAAGTTGGTCAAGATGGCCAAGGGGGTCAGTGAGTGAGCAGCTGTGGCAATTCGCCTTTCCTGGGGGCCTCCTTGGGACTTTTCAGGCTGGACGCATGGCAGAGTGGATGTGCGAGGTGGCCACTTCTGCACACCCAGGGTTCCTTTAAGGAAGCAGACCCACCCACCTCCCTGTTCACAGCTCACTGGGGGCTGGCTCCAATCCAGGAGGCTCTATCGCACCTAGAAGGCTGGGCTTGCCGCACCCGGAGGCAGTTGTGAGATCCTGGGGGAGTCTTGCCCCTCAGAGTTGCAGCCTCAGCTAAAACAAGAGGACACACCACACCCCTCATCTGCTCTCAGAGCTGGGGTACTGACAGGAGTAGGCAGGAGGGGTCATGACTGTCTTACCCACGGTTGTCACCCCAGCCTGGCCAGGGCCCTGGCATGTTGTTGGTGGAAAATAGGCTCCGACAGGGGAAGGGGGTCCCAGACATCACCCCGCTTTAGGATTACAAAGCTGCTGTTCCCAGTGGGTTAAGTAACTTGCCCAAAGCCACTGGCTTATTCAAAATAAGAGGGGCTCTTAAAGGTCTACTGGTAAGTGCCAGGCACTCTGCCTGCACTTTTCACATAAGCCTCACCACAGTGTTACAAGGGAGGTCTCAGAACCCTCGTGTACAACAGAAGAAACGGGCACAGAGAAGTTACTTGTCAAAGGCTACCCAGCTGGCAAGCGGCAGTTAGGAGGACTCCGACTCTACCCCAGGCTCCCCTGTCCATGGGATTCTCCAGGCAAGAATACTGGAGCAGGTTGCCATGCCCTCCTCCAGGACATCTTCCCACCCCAGGGATCGAACCCAGGTCTCCCACATCGCGGGCGGATTCTTTACCATCTGAGCCACCAGGGAAGCCCAACTCTAGCCTATCTGGACCCCAAATCCGCCTTCGTGGCCCTCACACCGGGCTGCTTCAAGAAAAGCCTTCATGGACCCCCAGTGGATCCCTGTTTCTGACAGCTGGGACATCCATGCACAGGCCCGGATCAGGAGCGCTGTCCTTCTGTGTGAAAGAACAGAGACAGGCCAAATATTTACCAGCCGCGCAGAGCCACAAACCGGCCTGACAGCAGAATCAACTCCGTGCAGGAATGAAGGCCAAGCTGTCGCTACAGAAAGGGGGTGGGGGGCCAGGATCCTGACCGTTGCTGAGGCTTCAGACAACTTGGCTTTGGTCAGAGGAACTGAAGGAGACCTGGGGAGGCAGCCCAGAGGCTGTCTCTACAACTGCCACCGGAGAAACCCTGGAGGGATTTTCAACTATCAGAATTTCAACTATCAGAGTTGCTAGCTAGCCCTTTGGGAAGGAGGTGAGAGGGTCGGCCTCTCCCAACGCTCCTTTGTCCATTCAATCGGGCTGGACAAAAATTGATCTCTCATCTTTTCACAGGCTTGGATATTATTTTTCTTAAAAAAAAAAAAAAAAGCTAAATGGGTGAGGTTAATTATTCACCAGGTTGCAATTTACTTAAGAGTCAGGGGAATGCACGTTTCCTTCCAGTAGGCAGGGGGATTTCACAGAGTCTTCCCTGGGGGTCTGGCTAAAATCCTCCCCTCCCACCAGCTTCCCACCTTGCATTCAGCAGCTTCCTGAAGGCAGCTCCAGGGCAAACAAGTTCCCGGTTTAAGCCACTCCCCCTACCAAGTTTCTAGATATCCAGCTTAAAGGGATGGATTGGGGTGGGGGTGGGGCAGGAGGAGGCATCAGCACCAGGAAACTTTGAGAATTCAAAAGGGGCGGGAAATCAAAAAGCTCTCAATTCCTAAATACAACGGCCTAAACTGCAGCATAGTTTGGCTGCTGGAGACCAGGCCAGTCCAGACCATAGGCGTAGCTGATTCAATCACATCGTGCAAAGGGGAAAAAAAAAAAAGGAAAAACCGAATCACTCACTCCCCCGCCCCCCAAGAAATGAAGCCCGAGGTGATTCCTAAAAATCCCTGTAAATCTGAGCAGCCCACAAGGAGGAGGCACAGACTTAAAGAAAAAATTGCCGGCCACCTGGGCAATCCCTTATTACCAGGGATTTATGCCCCTCGTCCTCTGTGCCCATCACCTCCAGGGTGGTTGCAAAGCTTTTCCGCATCTCATTGCTCCAGACCAGTCCTACAGGTGTTTTACGACCACGCAATATTCCTGAGATTTCCACTTCATTTAAGATACTGATCCCCAGGGCCGGGAGAGGCATGGGTTCAAAGGGAGAACTCTGTTTTCCCAGCCTGACTCAGTACTCCGAACAGACCCTTTTCTTTAATTAGGGAAAACCCTCCAACTGAGAGCGTCCCAGGTCGTTCAGTGGTAAAGAACCCACCTGCAATGCAGGAGACCTGGGTTCGATCCCTGGTCGGGAAGATCCCCAGAGAAGGAACTGGCAACCCGCTCCAGCATTCTCGCCTGGAGAATTCCATGGACAGAGGAGCCTGGCGGGCCACAGTCCACGGGGTCCTAAAGAGTCGGACATGACTTAGTGACTAAATAACAACAAACAACAACTCCAGCTGAAGTTCCCACCAGTCCCCTCCCAGACAATTTTCCTCAAAACTGAGTATGTCTGCCCGTTTAGATGCATGGCCCTAAGGAAACTCTTTTCTCCCACAATTCTGGCGTTTGCACGGTCCACGGGTTAGAGCTGGCAGGACAAAGCTCACACGGAAAAAATGCTGGTCAACAGCAGTTCCGGGCTCTGCCCACTCCCAGGCTTTGCCCACTCCTGGGCTCACGCACCGGCCCAACCCTGCCTGGGTGGCCCCACAGCCCAAGGTGTCCCCTCCATTCAGGCCCCCTCACGGCCACTGGAACAGGGACACAGGTGTGGCAGGATTCCAGCGAGGTCTCTACACGGGCCCAGAGAAGTCAGAGAAGATTCTGGAAGAATCTTCCACATCCTTGAGAGAGGTGGGCCGACCTGGCAGGGCGGGTTTCTCCCTCCCCCCTGCTTCCAGAAATCTATCCTGTTTTCCAAAGCCGGGAAGAAGGGGGCCCAAAGAGCCCTATTTTGTCAACTGGCCCTTTGCACGGTTCAGGTCACCTCCCGGCATGTTCCCAAATGTTTTCCCAAGGTCCCCACTGCCAAGACAGCCCAAACACAATACAAACAAACAAAAATAAACAGAAAGTTCCAACGCCAGGCAGACCGAGGTTTCAGGGCTTACTGGGGTTTTTCTTTTGCCGGAGGAGGTAGAAGCAAAGTTACAGGATAAACAGTTTAAGAAGGGAATTTGAACAGAAAACTTGAAGAGGACTTGGTGGGCGGTGGGGGGGGGGAGGTCAGCACAATGTTGCCTAGGTCAGGGAACAAAAGGCTGGCCATTAAGAACACATCCACAAAAATGCATCTTTAAAGAAATGGTAGTGCCGCTCGGGGAGAGGGGCTAAACCTCCACATCCCTGCCCGTGTTCCCTGGGCAACTCTAGTCCTCGCGCGGTCCTCACCACCCTCAAGATCAAGGTGGAGGCTCCGGAAAGCCCAGCAGGGCCCCGTAGGCGAATAGGCTCGGCCGGGGAGAAAGAGGGGCCTGTCTCTCCCTTCCCTCCAAGTCGGCCGCGGCCAGGATCCGGCTCCACCTGGAGGACCCCAACCGCCCGCAGGGACCAACTCGAAACTCCGAGTGCGTTCCCACCGCTCCTGCCAAGCGGAGGGATCCCTCGAACCTTTCACACAGAGCCCGCGGCGAGCGCGCCCCGCCATCCCGTCTCCGGTGTGGACCCGCGAGGTGCGGCCCAGCCCGGGTCCCCGCCCCGCCTTGGGCACCGAGCTCGCGTCCGCCGGGGAGAAAACGGCGAGGGGCGAGGAGGAGCCGTCGGTCCTGGGGGCCGAGGACTGGGACTTTGTAGGCCAGTTGAACCGACACCTTCATCTCGCCCGCAAAGACCCAGCTCTCAGCTCCCGCGCGTCTTGGATTCGGGCTGTGCCCTCGACGGGCTTCCTGGGGCTGGATCCGGCCGCCCGCTTTCCACGCGCTCGTCTCAGCTGAGGCTCTGGGTTTTCCCCAAGCGGCATCCCCCAAAGGCGGCATCCTGCTCGCCTGACCTCCACCAGCTGACTCCGAGACCAGCCCTCGAAGGGTTACACGACGCCCAGCGCACGGCGGCGTCCGGGCCGCCGGGGCGCAGGCCGAGGGACAGGGCTGGGGCGGGGGAGGCGGGGGGACCTAGCCTTTCCCCATCCTCCACCGCCAGCCGAGCGCAAGAGTTTCATGGAGAGAAACTTCGCCAAGATCCCACGCCGCGCCCGCGAGGCCCAGCGCCGCGCCGCCTGGGTTACCTGCGCTCAGATCTGCCGGGCGCAAGGCCGGCCGGGCCGCTCGCACCACAGGCCGTGCCCCACGCTGCATCTGGGGGTCCGGGGGCGCATCCGCCAGTCGTACCCTGCACCCCGACGTTCCGGGGACCGGCGCAAGCCGGGTCGGGAGCCAGGGCCTCGGTCGACCCGCCTGGGACCTAGCGGCCGCCGCCGCCGCTTCCCCAAGGAGCGCGAGCCGGGCGCCGCGGGGAGAGGACCGGGCCGGCAAGACCCCTCGAAAGTTGGGGGAGTTCCTCCCGCTAGCGGCGCGGCCCAAGCTGGCTCCACGTGCTGGTGACACATCAGGAAGGCTGCGCGCCCCAAGGCTCCAGGCGGGCGGACGCGGCCAGCGCCCGCCGCACCGCCTCCTGGAGCCTGGAGGACGCGCCCCGCCCCGGCCCGCCCTCCGCCCGCCCCTCGGCGCCGCCGCCCCCGCCCCGGGCCGCCGAGTCCTCTCCAGCCGGCGGCACCGGCGGGAGGACAGCCGGGCGGGGTCGGGGCGGCACCGGCGCCCCTTGCCCCTTGCCCTTGTCCGCGCCGCTCCGGGGATCGAGTCCGGCGGCGGGCTGCCAAACTCGACAGTCTCCAGTGCCTTCCTCCCAGGCACGCAGTGCTTCCCGCCCCCGAGCTCCAGTAATTTTCCCTTTTCCTCCTCGGACCGGTCGGAGGCCGCTGCCAGCGCTTCCTCCCTCGAAGGCCGGCGCCGAGAGCCCCCTGCCGGCCGCTCCACTCCCGGGCCGCGTCCCCCGGCCCGCCTCAACCTCCCCACCAGGAGCCTGCGGGGTCGGCCAGGCCCTTCTCCTGGGCAAATCAGTTCAGTTCAGTCGCTCAGTGTCCGACTCTTTGCGACCCCGTGAATCGCAGCACGCCAGGCCTCTCTGTCCATCACCAACTCCCGGAGATTACTCAAACTCATGTCCAATCAAGGAGATACTAAATGTAAGACGCCAAGCACTGTACCCTGCAGCACTATTTTTGAAATGTTAATTTTCCACGCCCCCTTCCAGTGACCTGTTGACCACCACCTCTCTTCATTGCTGGGCTGTCCTAAAGTAAAACCCGAGGTCTTTAGCCGGGGAGGGAGGGAGTGAGGATGTACGGAAAAGCCTCGAGGCCGAGGGAGAACATTCCCAAGGCTGGAGAGGGGTTGGAGTTCAGTGGAATCCCCACTGGTGGGGACTTGCTGCCTCACTCATCTCTGGGGGCACCAGGACGTGGGGGAGCAACCGCCTGCCTCACCTGAGACCAGTCTGGAGCATCCCTAGGCCTTCACCAAGATCCCCATCCTCAAGGCGGCTGGGACTCCAGGGACCACGGCAGAGGACGGGAGAGTTCAGTTAATTCAGTCCTGTGCAACTCTTTGCCACCCCAAGGACTGTAGCCTGCCAAGTTCCTCTGTCTGTGGGATTTCCCCAGGGAAGAACACTGGGGTGGGTTGTCATTTCCTCCTTCAGAGGATCAAACTCGAGTCTCCTGCATTGGCAAGCAGAATCTTCCCACTGAGCCACCTGGGAAGCCCATGGCAGAGGGAGTGACGGGTAAACCTAAGTAATGACTGAGGTTGAATTTCCCTGCCTCTCTTCAGAGAGCGCCTTGGAGTCGGGTTTAAATAATGAGACATACCTGCTTGTGGCCTGGGATAGATATTGGCTATGGTCCTGTCTTCTCTTTCCTGGCCTCATCAATCCAAATCATGCCTTAAAACTTCACTGTGGTGGGGGCTGAGTGGTTTATCTGCTCGATTTGCCAGCTCACCCCACGCCCCGACATGGAGATCCCAGCACAGGACAGATCTACAGAAGCAGGTGCATCCAGGAAAGCAGATCTGAGAGGATGGAGGGCAGATGGCGGCCAGGCCCGGCAGAGGTGCCCAGTGCTGGGGCACGGCCGGCCGCTGGCCCCAAGCCTCTGTAATCCCCATTTTGTGGGAGCCCAGGATTAGAAGGGAAGAAAGAGGAAGATGCCCTGACATTGCTGGTGATGCTGTGGGTGCTGGCAGGGGTCTGAGGTTCGTGCTCTGCTTTCTCTTCCTCTTTTATTGCTCTCTCTAAATCTGACAGACCCTTTGGATCTCTGAGACTCGAGGAGTCTGGAGGAGCCGGTGTCCTGGGGGGATGAAAGGGCAGGGATGTAATGGGTTTACCCCAGTGCTGATCCCAGAGAAACCGGCAGAAGATTAAGATTTGCTCCCAGAGCTTGAAATCTCCCTGCTACCCCCTGACCACATCAAAGGAATGGCCGTGGGGGGCGCCTAATCCCATCAATGGAATCAAAGCTGGACAAGAAAGGAAATTCTGCAAACTTGTGCAGCGTCAGGACACGGCTCACAAGAGAAAAGATGAGATACAGCAGGGCCTGGCCTCCTCCACTAGGGGGTTACATCCCAGGAAAGGTCCTGAATCAGTCCACAAGCAGACAGGGCCTGTTCTTTGCTTCTTTAGGTGCCCACTGTGGGAAGATCAACCACAAGAATTCAGAAACTGGGCAGTAGGGCTGGGCCTGCCTCCAAGGACAGAACGGGACCCTGAGAGGGCTGGACTCATCTGTGTCTCACAGTTCTGGTGGCTCTCAGCTTTCAGAAAATGCTTTCAGAGAGATGCTCCCTTTTACAACTGTGTCCCCAAAGCCTGGTGTTCATATGTGAGGTGGTTTTAGGTTAAAAAACAATGTAATGCTGCTGCTGCTAAGTCGCTTCAGTCGTGTCTGACTCTGTGCAACCCCATAGACAGTAGCCCACCAGGCTCCCCCATCCCTGGGATTCTCCAGGCAAGAACCCTGGAGTAGGTTGCCATTTCCTTCTCCAATGCATGAGAGTGAAAAGTAGAAGTGAAGTTGCTCAGTCGTGTCCGACTCTTAGCGACCCCATGGACTGCAGCCCACCATGCTCCTCCATCCGTGGATTTTCCAGGCAAGAGTACTGGAGTGGGTTGCCATTGCCTTCTCCAAAAAAAATAATGTAATAGATATTTTGAAAAATAAATTTCATGAATATTGTTATCATGATGAGGTTCAAATGAGCTAACTCAAAGACCAGTATTTAGCAAATAAGACTGAGTGAGCATGCACGCACAAGTGGTATTCTGCTCTGGCAAAATTGATGACAGTGTGTTAGTGGTTCTGTTGGGTCCAATTGTTTTTGATCCCATGGACTGTAGATCACCAGGCTCCTCTGTCCGTGGAATTCTCCAGCCAAGAATACTGGAGTGGGTTGCCATTTCCTTCTCCAGGGGATCTTCCTGACCCAAGGATCGAACCTGGGTCTCCTGCATTGCCAGCGGATTCTTTACTATCTGCACCACCAGGGAAGCCAAAAAGTGATGACAATTGCTTGCAAATTACTAATTAGAAAAACGCTCCTTCCGACCATCTTTAGAGAAGCATTGCTTTAGAAGTGTGGCTTTCAAATATTCAGCCATGCCTCATGGTAGGAAATATATATACGTTTATAAAATGTTTTATAAAACCATTCTTATGCACTCAAATTACTTGATATTAATCCATTCTGTTCCATGTTAAAAAAAAAAACAAAAACAAAAAACGGCTGCTTGCAAGCTATTCAGATTACTTCCACCTCCTACAGTTTGAAAAAGCCTGCCTTAGAGAACAGGCCATGATGATAATGATTGCAGCTCTTAGTTGGTGAGAAAATTTTCAGTGCCAAGACCCCGTGCTAAGAGCTTCTCCGTACACTCTCACAATGACTCTAGGTCAGAGGTATTATTATTGCCCACATTTTACAGGTGAAATTACTTGCCAGGGTCAGTCAGCCAGTAAGTGCAGATGGAGAGCAGCCCCTCTCCACCCCGGTCTGCTGCATTGCCCACCAGCATCTTCCAGGAAAGTATCTCAGAAGCGCCCAGTCTCTGGGCGTTCACACACTTCTGCTCTGACCCTCCCTCCACGTCAGTCCCCCGGCTCCTCCCATTTCCCCCACCCCCACCATCCACACACCTACGGGAGTCAGGCTCCTAAGCAAGCTAACCTCAGAGCCCCCGAGATGAGGGTGGGAGTGCGGGTGTGACACAGAGGGTCGTCCTGTCTCTGCCACCTTGCCCTACATACCCGTCCCCATGTCTGAGAGGGATCAACCTGCCTTGGGGTAAAAGTCCCATACATCGGGAGACATTAACCTTATTCTCGGGGCTTCCCGCCCTCTAGATTCTTCCCTAGGCCTCTCCCTGCTACTCTGTTTGAAACCTCAGCCTCCTTTCCATCACTTCTTATCCCCGACTCGGCCTTTCCTTCCATAGCCCTCCTCCCCTCGAAAGCACCGTTTCATGTCCTCATTTGCATACGTTCCGTCTCCCTTACTGATCTTTGCCTCCAACTTCCAGGATGTGAGCGCCACAGGGGTAGGTCGTTTCCCCTCTTTCATATACCACCACTGTACCCCTGTCCACATAATCCACTCTCAGCAAAGATGTGCTGAACGCCTTTCAGTCCTGCACATACTGCCCTAAGAACTGTTTTGCCATTGCTGGATGGGTTTTGGCTGCCCCAAACCCTCCCCCATCCAGGGCCCCCTCTGGACACACACAGAGGCCCAGCCACTCTCTAATACCTGTGATTTCACCCATTTTTCTCTCGGAGGGTGACTGCATTCCTCCCAGGGCCGAAGGGCCACATTCACTGTGGCCTCCAAGGCCCAAACCATGCAAGGTATTTAATATTAACCCCATGTTCCAGTCCTGATTCTCTGCTAATAATGAATATGTGCCATCTCTCTAGAAGGGCATCAAGCACTGTGATGTGGCAGGGCAGGAATGAGAACTCTGATTTATGGATACAGAAACTGGGCTTAGGGAGATGAAATGATTTACCCAAGGTCACTCTGTACCAAGTTCTTTTCCCTCAACTTCCTCCTCTGGACCATCCAGCCTATCCAATGTCACGATTGTGCATAGTCACGGTTGTGCCGTGTTCTCTTCAATTTCCTGCCACCAGTCAGACAGAGCTCGGACTGCCCTGGTGAGCGAGTGGATAAGAATCCACCAGCCAGTGCAGAGGATACGCGTTCTATCCCTGCTCTGGGGAGATTCCACATGCCATGGAGCAGCTAAGCCTGTGCACCACAACTCCTGAGCCCCAACTCTAGAGCCTGCCCGTTGCATGAACTGAGCGCCGCCTAGAACCCATGCTCTGCAACAAGGAAGCCACCAAATGAGAAGCCCACTCTCTGCAACTAGAGGGGCCCCTGCTTTCTGCAACTAGAGACAGCTTGCACACAGCAATGAAGCCCCAGTGCAGCCACAAATAAACACATAAATAATGTTTATAAAACAACACTAAAAAAAAAAGATCTA